TCCCTGTTCCACTGCAAATATATCAATGTCAGCTTATTGTCTATTACCATTGCCAAGTCCAATGGTGCCAATCACTTGTAGGATAAGAAGTATCAATTATGTCTCTTGAGTAGGTATCGAACGTCGAGTTACACTACCTATGCTACTTTCCTGACCTCAGTATAGTGTAATACAAGTTTCCGAGACCGAATTTTAGTTTTGAGTTTGGTTGAGCTAATTGGACACCGTCCCAGCTCTCGCACGTTTCCCGCAACTAAAAATATCTGCGGAGTGCCCATTGTCAGATTTGATACTCCGTATAAGCGAGAAATAAATGTGGCTCACCCTCTTTCACGTCGGTCTTCCATAGGCGCAGAAAGGGTCCACGGAATTTACGGACAAACATTTTGGAATCGACCCTTTCTAAACCGTCCGCCGTCCACCAGTTGCTAGAGCCTAACAGCCTCTCCATTTCGCTTGATCAGTTTTCTGTGAGAACAGGAGACAATATACCCCGATTGATTCGGTGCCGACCTCACGAGAGGTTGATTCGGCGAAAATGAGAGGTCGATATGGTTCCCGATAACGTAAACTCGTGTCGACATCACGAGAAGCCACGAAAAAAGGTTCAAATCACTCGAAAAATAAAGTAGTCCCCACGATTTCGGAAAAATGACTGACAAGCCGGAGCGCATGAAATTACAGTTCATTCACTAGTGGTCTGAAGATATTTTTACTCGATGTTGGCCTCTATGTAACCCGAACACCGAGGCGTTAGAGGTGACAGTACAGTGTTACCCGGCCCCTATTACCAGCGTTTTCTGAGCAATGTTGCCTTCTTCGAACTTATAGATTACTCGCCTTAGAGGTGTTTGGCTTTGAAAGCATTTCTAAAAACCGCTCGGTCAAGCGTCTAAAGTCGAGCACGCTGTGCTCAAGTGATTGCTGCCACATTTCTCTCTAGAAGGGCCTACGACGATTTGACGCCCAGGCGGAACCGAGTTACTGAATCATCCAGCTTCTTCCTTCAAACGGTCATAACAGCTTCTTTCGCCGCAGTGTCAACAACCTGATTGTGAGTGCCATGAACACACGTTTCTCCGGGGGCGTTTACCTAATTCTCTCTTCTGCCTAGCTCTATAGGACCGAAGAACATCCAGTTGGACTCCTAGAGTAGTTTAAAAGGGGGTCATTACATGAACAGTATTCCCTTATCCTCGTTAAGGAGTAATCACCAGCACACACTGAGCACCACCCAATCCAAAATGGCACCTATGCTCATCTCACTCACCAAAATCGCCAGCACTTTCATTCTTTTGACGCATATTCAGGCGTCGCCTGTGCCCCAACCAACAACACAAACCGACACTCTTTCTTTCCCCGACCTTCACCCTCGTAAGCAATGTAGGGCTATCTTTTTACCTGCATGGGACCAGACCTGTGATTCAATTGCTACAAAATACGATATAACTGTGCCGGAGCTCATAGAATATAACTCAGGCCTCGACTGTGACGACGTGTGTACGTGTTTTTTTTTTTCCACATTTCTACGTTCGGAATACAGGGT